TACACCTTGATGCCCAATCGAGCCGGTGACCAATGTCACAACTGGGAAGGTGTATATGGTTCTTACTCCTCTTCTTGGTTGGTTTGGAATCAATATGCTTTGTCCAATTCCCTTAGGTGAGCTACCAGTGATCCACCAACGCGGTTATAGCCCCGGATATCGGCCATCCGTCCTCTCACTTTGGTGGGAAAACACCTTCGCCACTAGAAGTCAGTGAGTAGGGCTTCCTCAGCAGATGCCGTTTGAGACGCTTGGGCATATGGGAGCATCTGGCGAGGTGCAAGGAGAGGGTGACCAGCCGCAACCCTAAGCACCCAGCCTCGACCATACTCAGGCTTTAATACAGTTATATAAATAGGTCCGAGGCATATCGTATTTACATAACGTTTGACGTAGATATCATTAGTAGATTGTATGTGGTGTACAAACCAAAAATGAGTGTTGGGTTAATGGGAATAGGGATGAAGCGTATGAGGTTTATGACCGATTCAGGGTCGTCATGGAAACGGTCATCTGCAGTCACGGGACTGAATCTACCCCGGTACCATGACAGTTTAGGTGCTTTAACCAATCCCTTTTCGGAACAATACGATGGATTGAACAGACGGATGGGTACTGCCTCAGCGGCTGCTAAATGTTGTCAATGATCAACAGTCTTAGGTGGATAAAGATGCACCTGGTAGATCACCTTGAAAGCTTCTTCGCTCACAGTATACCCCGTATTTGCGAGATGTTTCACAATGGCACTGGAGGTGGTTCCGCTGTCCCTGGTAGACAACCAGGCTGATTTGTTTTCCTTGATCCTTTGAGGAAAACCTGCCTGATAGTTCTACCTATTTGGCTTGCCTAACATGAGCAAACAAATGAGTAGGTAGTCGTAGAAAAGATAGAAATAGGCAATTTATTTTGCGGTTCATGGAAACAATCAGCTGATTGATGAACTGAAGGCGTAAATATTCCGCCGGAAATGTGCGTGTGATGGCTGTTTCCGAAAGAGTGAAAGGATGTACAAATTTGACCGTAGGGGAAGCAGCTATTCCACTGAATGTCCTAAATCGAACATTTCTGTCAAAATATGCGGACTTCTATCAGGTATTTCGGCTGCGATTGTGAACTTAGTGTTCACCTGTTTTCGCGAACCACTCTGAAGCGGAACCTTTCGAAGACTATCTCAACGACTGGAGCCTGTGAATGTTACGAACCTCTCTCAGTACCCCATCTCAGCAGTCTACAAATTCCGAAACTGACTTCAGCATAACTCAGTAGCGTATGTGGTCAGGTGCGCGCGCGCGCACGGGGAAATATTGTGAACGACACATCAGTGTACAAACATGTCCCGTAACCGTAATCTGGAATTGTCAACATTTTTAGAGCATAAAGTCCAGCTGCTGGGTCGTAAACCAAAGTCATATCACCAACACATATGGTCCAAATCAGTTGAATCTAACTTTGGTAAATTCCAGTAACTTTGTGTTTCAAGTGAGTAATGCAGGATTTGGTTCAATTTCAAAGGTGAATTCGTCGTGTATATAGCAAATGAAGCGTGAACTAAAAAGCTAGGAAGCACTGGACAGCTGTTTCAACCTGATTGGGTCTCATCAGCAGAGCGAATCCATCGACCCAACTGGGGATCGAACCCGGGACCTAGCTTTTAGCTCACGCCTCATTTGCTATATACACGACGAACTCACCTTTGAAGCTTTGTGTTTGTTGTGTTGTAGACGATCTGAAATGCGTGAGTCGGAGTGTCACAATGTTTTTGTTCTAATAAGTGCTGTGTTACCAAAGATCTAAGACTCTTCTGCTCATTGGATAACGTAACAGTTTTGAACTTGTCGTCCATCGCTTTCTTAAGCCACACCGGGATGTGTTCGGCCGTTCGGTGACGTAACTGCCTCTCTGTCGGGCCTTTGTAGATGACTGAACATCCGCACTTGAATTGGTGAAAGCAGTTTGATTCGCAGTTCCTGACCACGGGTAATGAATGTAGGAATCGATAGTTCTTCTTTGAGATCCAGCAAATTGCCCTTGTTGATTTTTGGTCATTGAGAGTAATCACCAACTATGTTATGTACTACTCACAAATGAGTAGTATCTTACAACACTAGTAACAACAGCAGGACTGCACACAGTTAGATAATGCGAAAATGCATTCAAATTAGATAACTCCTTAGTCCATATTACCATTGTGTGATGCGTGCAGCCGACATCAAATTCAGAACACAAGTTTTAAAATTGTGTATACAACAGAAAGTGTCAAACGTTGATATTATCAGTATCAGTGTAATTAGGATGCTGACTGATTTGATAAGTGATTAGCGCAGTGTCAGGAATAGATCAAGTTTGAAGAAGTCTAGACCGGAAATGATTGAAATGGAATCTGGTGCACACGTTTCGAGGTCATCGTATGCAGCACCGTTCATTTTGTTGTCTAAGACCGTTTCTTGTGCAATCCAGCGAAGGGACCTGAAGTCCAACGCAGCCGTGTGGAGAAATGCTCCTCTTGTCATGAAAACATTCTTATATTATTTATAGTATCAAGCTTGGACTAACCCATTCGATTGTTCAGAAGCACCAGGCACTCTTGATGGTCTTGGATGTGGGTTTCAATCCTTGGGAGATCAAGAATACCTGGTGTGTCTGAACAATCGATTGGGCTAATCTAAGCTTGATGCTCTAAAAATCGATTGAGTCATTCACAACAAGATGACGACCGTCGACCGTGTAGTTCAGGGATAATGGTTTGAAGTATCGACCCGAATGTTCGTGGTTCGAGTCCTGACAGGAACACAAAAAATACACACTGCTGACGAGTCTCAAACAGGACGAAACAGCTGTCCAGTGTGCAATTTGTCGGTTATCACAAACATTTCTGTCACAGTGGAATTCTTATTTTGTT